TGAACCTGTTGGCAGGAGTGTGGCTGCAGAAGTGGTTTGCGGGGACTGCGGTGGGGCCCTGGAGGGTTGCTCTTTGAAGTGAAACCTTGTCTGATTTATCTTTAATTATATATATATATAGGCAGGCTGAAAGAGTTGGGGCTGTTCAGCCTGGAGAAGAGAAGGCTCCGGGGAGATCTTATAGCGGCCTCCCAGTACCTGAAGGGGCTACAAGAAAGCTGGGGAAGGACTTTTCATAAGGGCAGTTAATGACAAAACAAGAGGAAATGGGTTTAAGCTGAAAGAGGGGAGATTTAGATGAGATATTAGGAAGAAGTTCTTCACTGTGAGGGTGGTGAGACAGTGTCCCAGGTTGGCCAGAGAAGTTGTGGCTGCTCCTCCCTGGAGGTGTTGAAGGCCAGGCTGGATGAGGCTTTGAGCAACCTGGTCTAGTGGAAGGTGTCCCTGCTGCTGGCAGGGGGGTTGGAACTAGATGATCTTTAAGGTCCCTTCCAACCCAAACCATTCTATGATTCTATGATATATATTTATTTATTTATTTTTTTTCCACATTCTCAGATTGTGGGTTATTTAACCGTGAAGGACATAAGCATTGAGAAGATCAACTTTGATTATTCCAGCTATGGAGATGCACAGCTCAGCGAGGGGGATTTTGGCCACGTAACTGAAATCTATGACTTCTCCCCGTCGCTGAAAACAGAAAACCTGTTGGAAGTGTTCTCTGACTTCCAGTGAGTACCCTTCTGAGAGCCTGAGCACATCAGGGGGACCAAGAGAGCAATATTCAGACTTGAATGCACAAAAGAATCTGATAAATTTTAGTTTTGTCTTCATGCCCTTATGTCTTACACCCTTTTCTGTGCCTTAAAGGACATTTTCCTGCAGTTTATGCATGATTTAAAACACGACCAGGGCTTCAGGGCTCTGTCATACGCACGCTTATCTACATGCAGATTTATTCCTACTGCTCTGGCTTCAGTGAGAATCTTTAAAAGGTGCTTTCTAGGAGCTTCTTTATTACTGTGTCGCGGTGCTTGAGTGAAATGATGTGCTTACATAAGTCTTTCAAGAAAAAGGATTCAGTCCTGCTGTTGGAGATAAGATTTATTGTGTAAATATGGGGAACAGAGCCTGGTGCATAAGGGAGTGACATTGGATTGAGTAGCAGGAGCAGAACGAAGTTCAGCTCTGCGTTAGTGATGAAGGCTGCTCGCCGCAGCTCTGAATGACTGTGTCACCGCTGCCAGAGCGTGCAGACACAGTGTCTGGAGGCACCTCTCCCTCTTTTCTTCCCACCATCCTCCTCCTCTCTTGATATACCTGGTGGTTTAATTATGAACACTTCACCTTTCTGGATCCCTCCAATTAAAAACCATGATTTACATTTTAAATAAGGTACTGTCTATTCTGTGTGTTTCCTCTAAGGTGTTATTTTTCCACTGGCTGTGAGAGTGAAACTGAGCTGAAAATTGACGGATCTAATCTGAGCTGTTGATTGTATTTGTATTTCCTGTGCTGCAGGAAAACCTCTGAACTCCCTGCTCCCAAACTCACATCTTCCACTGACGCTTTATTAGATTTTTTTTTTTTCACATCAGTCTCTTCCCCCTGAGCTTTTTGAACCACTTTTATAAATCACTTGCTTTTTATTGTAGATGTCTGAGCAATCAAGTGGTGTTTGTGAAGCACTATATAAATGGCAAAGAATATTTTTGTGTTCCAAGACAGTTCCTGAAATTGAGGCTGGGGTTTTTTTAGGGGAAAAGGAGAGTTTGTGATGGAAGCTGACAGGGTAGTTGTACATTGTGGCCTTGAAAGGGTCACATCTAATGTTCTTCTGTTCCTTCCTTTCCTTCTCTTTCTCCTCATGTAAAATGAGTCTAATGCTTTGAAAAGCACCAGCTGTCTACATAAAAACACCAAGTACACTTGATAACTCAAGGTGGCTGATGGGTTTTATTATGCAAGGGTTTTTTTTTTTTTCCTTCTTATTAATGAATATTATTCTATTTCCTTTTCACTTTAGCGACAGTGGTTTCAAAATCCAGTGGGTTGATGATACACACGCCCTGGGAATCTTCTCCAGCCCATCTACAGGTAGGGTGACTCGATTTCTGGCTGTGATGGAGGGGACCCAGTGGGGTTTCTCAGCTCTTGTGCTGTGCCCCTGTCCTGGCATGGTGGTTTGCAGTGTGCATCTGTTGAGTCTTGCACTTGGGCAAAGCTGTTGCCAAAGGTAGTTGTGGTTCATCACATCTTTCTGCCTGTGAGCTTCAAACTTGAAAGGCTCTGAAGGCTTGAGAAGCTGAATTACTGTGATGGTGTGTGGAAACTCTGCTTTGCAAGAACAACAGGTTTTTTAATTGGCTTGGATAATAACCAGGGCACCTTTTGTTTACTGAGCAACTCATGCTGCATTTCTAGAAATTAATCTT